ATTTTTAACTATCCTAAACTGCATACCAAAATTTAAGCTTCCAACATTAACACAAGATAACAAAAATAATCCCGACATTTTTCGTCCAATGAACATGCACGTAAGATATACATTCGCATGCAAAAATAATGTCATAATTTTAGTCGTACGTTACTTGTACAATCTTTTTAGGGCGGCATAATTTATCAACGTATGTTTTGGGCAATTAGGGTGATTTTTCATTCAAAGATTACATCGGCAAAAAGGGAGGATGCACAGTGGGGTCAAGTCAAATAATTATAACGTAAACAAATTTTGAAAACAAAAAAAATCTAGTGTCGTTTAACCCAACCTAAATGATTTTAATTTTAATAACATAACAAAAAATAAATAAATATTTTTGTAGGATCTGAAATCTGCATCACTGTGCGTGGTGGAAAATTAAATACCCCACATGACAAAACAGCTTTTAACATAAAAAACGCATAGCGTTTTACGACACAGACGACATAATGACGGAAAAATATTTAGACCCTTAATGGGACAGCAGATACCGATAGTGGAAAAAAATACTAAACAGGGGCGGTTATTTTTCCTAACGAACTCTGATAGCGCGTTGCGAGAGCTTAATAATTAAGTAGGAAACGATCGTAATTTATATCTGTGCTTATATCGCTATACAGCTATATAAGTGAAGTATGTGGTAATTAAAAATGGAGCCGTATTTTTTTTAATAAAGGTGAATACGTCAAAATAACAAAGGAAAAATATAAGCAAGTAAATTATGTTTAAAAAATATAAAATAAAAAATTATAATAAATTATTTAAATATATATAGCATAGCATTTGTGTAACCACAATGTGCATTAATATACAGAATAATAAAAATAATTATAAAACCTAAAATTGAAAAAATTAATATAAAATATATGGATATATCTCATCCCAATCAACAATTTTTCATAAAACTTTTTTGTTTATTTAAAAGCAAACATACAATTTTAAAAACCTTTCGCAAAAAACAAAATAAAATCGACAGATTAGAACCGCCACCGTCGGTTAAAGGTAAATCCACACCTTAGACAATACAAGACGTGGACAGATAAAGGCATTTTCACAACTTATACAATGTTCACATGTATATTTGTTTTCAATTTGAAACCATAGATTTTTTATTGTACTTTCAAAAATATTTATTTGATAAATATTTCCGACAGATTTTAAAAAGCACAAGAAAATTATCCATCCATGTGCTGTGTTCTCTAAGGTCCTTGCATACGTTGCTGCCGTATGGATTTAAAATTAAATCTCGAAATTTAATTAAGAGTCAAATTCTAATTGTTGCTTTTTACGATTGTCCATTTTAAAAGCGTCTATTAAATTTCACGTTTTGTTTCTGTTTGTGTGTGTGTGTGTGATTTCGCTTTTGTGTTTTTCAAATGGAAATGGAAATTATAATTTTTCGAAAGATGGGAAATTTAATTAAGACTACGAGCAAATCCGTTTTTTACATTTTATTTTGTAACATTCGTTTAGAAGATATAATAATAATTATAATTATTATGATAGGGGATTTAAAAAAAACAAAAGCAAAAAAATAACTTAGTAATAATTAATTAAATAAAGGGCAGGAGTTATTAAATTTTTAAGGCCACCAATAATAGCACAGTGTTTCTGGTCTTTAGGGCGAGCCCCGCCTTTTATATCACCCTGTGTAATAAATAATTAATTTTTAAAAATAAGGTAATATAATATTGAATTAGTAATTTTACTAATCCAATATTATATTACATATTATTTTTAAATGAATGTCTTAAGCAAGCAATTTTGTAAAAAATTATATAACAATTATAGAACAAAAAAGAGTAAAAAGTCTTGACATGCGCGCATGCGTTATTTCATTATTTTTTCATTACCTGCTGGTACCCTTTCTTCTCCATCAACGTAGGCTGTGTATTAAAAAACATGTCGATTTTAATTAACAACGAAATTTTTCTCTATAAAGATTCTTTATTTTAAAAATATGCGTTACAATAATACGCTAAAAAAGCATCGGGTTTTTTTGTTTGTAACATACGCGTTTGACTTTATGCTTCTTTAGGGTATTATTATAATTAAAATTTAAAAGCTGCGCGATAATAATTCCGTTGAAAGTACAATTTAATTAATTCCCTCGATTTTTTCCAGCGTATTAAGTAATACGATTTAAAGCATGAAAGGAAAATTTAAAAAACTCCATTACTTTTGTAAAGCGCCAGCCATTTACATTTCTTTAAGGAAGAGAATTAATGCTAAGAGCTTCCAATCTTTCCTTGATTTTTTTAAACAGCTGCAGAAAGTGGCAAAAAGTGTACTCACGCTTCATTTGAATGAAATTAAGCTGCTCGATGGCCTTGAGAACGGATTTGTCGTCTAAGGTGAGATCAAAGTTGGGAGACACTCTGGGGGCTGTCCATTCCTTATGCCACGAGTGGTCCGTGTTCGCTACTTTGCCAATCAACATCGTGCCAACCTTAAAAAATTATTAACAATATTTATAGACGAATATAACTAATTTTTATAAAAGTCGCAGTGGCGCATCGGTTAGACATCCGCTCGACAAGCGAGAGGCTCGAGTTCAAACCCCGACAGGATCAAAAGTTTTTTCAATTTAAATCTAATAATTTGACTATTACGCAGTACGACAAAATTTGATTTTTTCCCTCCCATGAAAAATTCATATAGATTTTGGAAATAAACAAAAAAAATGATACCCTCTCGGCGTTTTTTCAGATCACGTCATTTTTTTAAAGTGCGATTCAATAAAATGTTATCCACGGCACATAATATATAACTGTACTAGACTGTATATTTTTAAGAAAAAATTATTCACTGAATAAATGGACAACCTTTAATATTATTTATTTAATTTAAACTGGTTTTAATTATATACTGTTTGTTGCACATTTACGAAATACACGATATACGATTTAAAATTTTTAAAGCGTTTATAATCCAATTAAGCTTATTTTATTAAAATATTTTAAACAAAATGCCACTTTCGGTTTGACTACATAAAATTCTTAGTAAAATTACTGTACCATGTCCTATACCTCTAAAGTGAATAGTTTTCAGCCTTATTTAGAACTTCGAAATTAGTGGTTTCAGTTAACGTAAAAGTTTGTCAACTAAAAAATTAGTGGTAGTACTTTTCAATTAGTGGAAAAAGTTTGCAAACTTCTAACTTTTACCACTAATTATAATTGGAAAGCGGCTTTGCGCATGTGCGCGGATATTTTATGTCAAAACGGACAATTTTTTAGCGAATTCCCTTAATTTTAGATGTTAATTTTGCGCATTGTGAATGATCCTGTTGTGTTAATTATAAGTATAATTAAAACAAGTTATTTTTTCCACTAATTACGAGGTTCTGAATGAGGCTTTTGAGTCATTAAAATTTGACAAATGCGCAAACATTGTTTAAAAGATTCTTTAACATTTTTTAACAAATTAGGTACCCCAGAAAACCCATTTTAAATGATAATTAAATAGAAAATTCAAAAATATTTCGATTGATGTAATTATTCCCTATTAATAATTTTAAAGATATTTAAAAATTTCTAATATTAGACCCAGAATAGTCGAGAAGAGCAACGTCTAATGTAGAAGTAAGAATTAAAAAATCCTTAAATGTGAACAGTTAGTAATAAAAATTGTTAAATAAAATATTGTTGATTTAATAAATTGTTACAGTTACGTATTCTTTTTGTTATTAAAATATTTCATAAAATAAATTTTATATTTTATTGTCTCCAATGAGCTTGTGCTTCATCTAGTTGACATTCTACAGCTTTGTTGATATTATTTCAAAATTACCAAATACTATTAAATTTTAAAAAAGTTTGGCTTTTCAATGTATTTTAAAATTCACTGTTTGCTTTTTTATCAGTAATTTTGTTTACAAAACACTTAATTAGTCAACAAATTGTTTATAACAACCTGAAAAATTGACGCCATTAAATTTTAAACAATGACAGATACCGTCAACTCACCGTTCACAGGTTTCTTGATACAAAATAATATTTAACATTTTATAAATTGTTAAAAATCACTGAAATTATTAACTTTAGGTACCTATATGAAATAGTAATATCAATCGAAAGGTTTTTTAATTTGCTATTTGATTAGGTAAAAACCTACCGGGTGTTACATTTAAAATAAAAAGATATTAACGTTTCAAGTTAGCCCATTTTAGGATTCCAAATATTTTACCCCCTTATCCTTAAACCTAATACCAAACATTTAGAAAACTATTCACTTTAGGTAATTTTACTCAAAATTTTTTGTAGAATTTTAAAATGCAAAAAATATATGGGGTGTTCTATTTGATAAAACAAAGTTGACATTTTGTTCAAAATATTAAAAAAAAATAGACTTAAATGGATTATAAACGATTTTAAATTTCAAATCAATATCTTTTAGTAGTCAAGAATCGGCAGTAAAGTAAAATAAATCGACAGTAAAGTAGAGTATTGTAGAGTATTGTATGCAACCCATTATACATTTTAAGATGTGTATACGGCTCCTTAGCAAAAAGTTAAAGGGGTGCGATTATAGGGGATCACCCTGTACATCAAGTGATGTTTTTAAGGTTGTGATAAAACTATAGATTCTAAAGCGATATAAAATCGTCAAACTAAAAAATCAGAACTAGAAATAATTTTTTTTTTACTTAAAAAAAATTAAAATTAATATTTTCTCTAAGTATAATTATATAAAAACATACAATATTTGAATTAAAAAAATATTTATAACAAAATATAGAATTAAAAATCTGTATAGCTTAAAATAATATGAATGGTTGTATAAAAAATTTCGTTTATTTAACCTTTATTTTAAAATCTGTTAAAATTTGTCTTGGTAGGAAAATCGTGTTGTACTGTGTAATTAGTCATTTTTGACTAATTAAGTTTAATTGTGGAGGTTATGAAAACACATAAAACGGATAAAAAAAATGTCACAAAGGGTGATGATTTCTTTACCTGCAGGAACGCGGTGCTGTCAGTCTCCTTCAAGGCCTCGATGCAGAACTGCAGCAAAGCGGTGGTCTGCTGCAGGCGCGACGTGCAAGTAGCAACTTGCTCCTTCAGCGCTCGCATCCTCAGCTCTTTGTCCTGTCTGATGCACTCTATCAGCTGATCGCGACGCCTCAGCAGCGCCTCGATCAGTGCGTCGCATTGAGCCGCCACGATGCCTTCAAATTCCTCGCAGTTTTCCTGCAATTCAAAAAGTTCGCGTCAAAAGTTTTATAATGAATTTTAATTGGAAAATGATGTGAACATGTATTAGGTATTTTTGAAAATCAGATTATCGAAAAAAAACATTATCTTGAAAACAAGATGATTGTTAAACGTTTCGACGAATTCTAAAGTTTTAAGACTCTCTTAAAATTAAATAATTAAAATTCTACTATTTGAATTAGTACCAGCATTGTTTACCAATAAAATAATCGTTCTTACTTTTAAATGGTTATTTTTTACTAGTGAAATACACTCGATCGATCCACACAAATTTTCGATGAATTTCAATCGCAAATAACTTTTTTATTTGATGTCGGATTTAAACGAATATTAAAGAATATTGTAGATAAATTAATGGACAATCGCTCATATTTTAAAAAAATACTAAAAAATAGACGTACGTTTATAATCTACAGGTTTAAACAAAAAGATGTTTTTTACCATAAGTTTAAGACACTCTGTAGAGTGGCAAAACCGTATATTGTTCTAAATTAAGTTTTATTTATCAAGTCACATCTATTCTTAACAGTTTTGTTTTTAATTCACCTCGATATATTTATTTTTGTGGAAAATATGGATTTTTTAAAAAAACATTGCAATTTCCAATATTTTTCTGTATGAAGAACTAAAGTTGCTATGGTCCATCTATAGCCTATGGAGAATGACAGTGACAGTTTTGTTGAATCATCCCATACTTGGACATGTCATATACAGCTTTCAAAAGCTATCAAATTGTTTTTTGTAAATTAATGTGTTAATTTTGAGGTGTCTTCTTACTTTTAAAAATGTCTCCGACTGATGTTGCCCTTTGTACTTTACTTCTTATGACGTTTAAAACACTTGCCACGTAATACTGTGACCGTCCATCCTGGATTAAATTAATAGCTCTGGCAACATCAGTCGAAGACATATCAATTTTATAAAGTAAGAAGACACCTCAAAATTTAAACATTAATTTGCAAAAAACAATTTGATAGCTTTTGAAAGCCGTGTATGACATGTCCAAGTATGGGATGATTCAACAAAACTGTCATTGTCATTCTCCATAGCCTATGGACGGACCATAGCAACCTTAGTTCTTCATACAGAAAAATATTGGAAATAACAATGTTTAAAAAAAAAATCCATATTTTCCACAAAAATAAATATATCGAGGTGAACCAAAAACAAAACTGTTAAGAATAGATGTGACTTGATAAATAAATAAATAAATAAATAATAATAGAACAATATACGGTTTTGCTACTCTACAGAGTGTCTTAAATTTATGGTAAAAAACATCTTTTTGTTTAAACCTGTATATTATTAACGTACGTCTATTTTTTAGTATTTTTTTAAAATGTGATAGATTGTCCATTAATTTATCTACAATATTCTTTAATACTCGTTTAAATCCGACATCAAATAAAAAAGTTATTTGCGATTGAAATTCATCGAAAATTTGTGTGGATCGATTATTTTGCACGTGAGTGACTGATATCTAATATAACTAGTAGTTAATAACTACTGATTAATTTCATCTGAAATAAATGTATATCCTTGGCATAAAAACAGAAGCGAATTTGCTTTCGGCACGCGCCTAAATTGCGGCATGCTTTGAGAGCTCCACGCCTTTGTCTTTTGTCGGCTTTACACCGCGTTATAACAAATAAGCAGCATTATTATAAAATAATAAAAACAGTAGAATATTCGCTACTCTACTGCACTCATAGTTGTTTATTTGATTTATTTTTGGTAACAATTTTTATTTTTATTTTAAGTAATTTTGCGCTAGAATATCGTTTATTTCACGAAAATGTACATTTTCCAATAAACGCGACTTAAAAATAACACGTTTGTTCGATTATAAAAAATCGTATCTTGCTACCCAATTACTTTAGACATGTGCGGTTTTAACAGTTTCATTTTCAATAAAATTTGCAAGTTTTGTGTAAATGTTTAAAACCAAACGGCAGCAAGTTTTGTAGAAATAGTGTACAAAATGTCAATTTTATCTTGCAATGTTTAGGACATTATAACTTATAATTTTAAATAAAAGAAATTAATTTATTTTAAAAGGCTCGAAATGCACACTAGCAAATGCAAAATAAAACTGAATCCTCGCCTACGCCGGCAATCTGCTTACAATGCATCTGCTAGTGACTGCTTTTTCGCTATGACAATTAATCAAATATGACCTATAATTAGTTATTTTGACTAATTCATTTAAAGAGAGTAAGGTACAATGAATTTTAATTGAAAATTGATGTGAAAATGTATTAGTATTTTTGCAAATCACAACATTGCACTGGCTATCGAAAAAAACATCTTGAAAATAGGTCAAGTAATTTTTGTATTCTTCCACTTTTAAATATCAAAATTAAACAGTTTGGGGTTAATGCGATTTATAAACACGTACTGTGGTTCGCCGATGAACAAAACTGATCTGCGCTCTGATTGCTTATTAAAAACATATTTCAGCTCGTTTATTAATCCGCTCAAAACCGCCCCAACCAGCCAGTTTTCATTTCTCGTTAGCGATGAGCGTCGAATTATAATTTCGGCACTTTATAATAATCTAGCACCCCTTCTCGAACATTTAATTAAGAATCTCATCGATCCGAGACAAGAATCGCAGTTTTCGATTTGGCCAATCTACGGCTTTTGATTTGTTGGGCTCTAACAAGTTAGTGCAACATCTGGCAACAGTTAAAATAAAACCAAATAATTTAATATTTATTGAGTCTTTTTAAGATAAATATTGAGACTTATTTCAAATAAATCACCCCACCCCCCAAAAAATAATAAATCACTCAAATTCCCCAAGGAAACGTAAAGATAAACAATCCCAATTAAACCCTTTTCCAACCGAGTCAGTCTATAGACACACAGCGCATGTATACTTACGTTAACTTTGTCACTCATCCCCTTAAGACGTTGGATGAATTCCGTTGTCGATTTGGCTCTTTCGGAGAGTTGCTGCAAGTTGTGGGACAGCTCGGTCTGTAACAAAACAAAAACAAACATTAGACGTTGGACTTTCAGACAATCATAGAACGTTTTAGTGTAAAAAGAGTGAAAAAAATACTCTAAAAGTAACTGAAAAAAAGATTTCTTATATTTAAAATACCTATATTCGTGAAAATATTTTTTTAATTCAAGTCAACTTGCTTTAAATTAAGAATTTTGTATTTTTGGAAATATTCTAATATTAAGAAACATTTCTTGTTCTAAAAATTTGCATGTTTCAATCCAAATATTAAATATTCTTGAAGGAAATCTTAGTTGGTTTCTTGGTACAATTATTAATATTTTTTTTATATCAAGAATTGGATATTCTTATTTTTTTATTTGTTTAATTTTTTTATATTAAGAAATAGGTATTCTTAAAGTTTTTTATTCGTTTTTATAAACAGTATTTTCTTTTGCCAAGAATACTTATTCTTGAAATCGAAATTGAAGGTAAATAAGTTGTAATTAATATACCACCCTTTTTTAAATTTAGCATCGCATTTACGTGTTTAGGTTTATTGTTTAAATATTTACTAAATTAGTAAGACTAGTAATATATTATGTAATAAAGAAAATGCTATAGTCCAATATCATTTTTTTCAGGTTAAGTTAAGCAATAATTGTTTCAAATATTCTCTATACTTTTTTTATCTTTTGCTCAACTTTAAAAGTTATGATTTAATGGCAATGTTTATTTTAAAAGGTAAATAGTGGATTATCCTATTTATTTTTCTCAATCAGTCTTAAAAAAAAGAGGTAGAATAATCCATTCTTTACCTTTTGAAATATTAATTAAAGTCGTGCAAAAGTTAAAAAAAGAATATACCTGCAATATTTAAAACAATTATTGGTTAACTTACAAATATATACCTTGTATTTAATATTAAAGTAAATATTGTATCGGCCAGAATTACTTATCAGTGGCGGCCCGTCAGGGGAGGCAGGTAAGTATAATTTAAATATTTTACTTTCTAAAATATACTATAAATTTTTAATATTTGGATTACATGAATTGTGAAATAGTCAATAAAATTGATTGATTTTATACGTGGAATACCCAGCAACATTTAAATTATTTGAATTTGAAACGACCGCAATTTAAACTAATATTTATGGCTAGATGATTGGCTCAGAAGCATGCCTGAACTAATTTAGACTCACGATTGGCGTTAGCCTTGTTGTCTCGTTCTATTACAATGCGATATCATAGTTTGTCTCCTTCTCTCGTATTAGCATACGCGAGGCAGGCACGCCTACATTCAAGGAAATAAGCAGCTGTTGTGGCAACACTGTTGCGGAATTTTAGATAAATTATACTTCACACGTTTTTCAAAATTCAATAATAAATGGTATTATTATTCTTATAATTGAAATTATATTTCTATTCTAAAATAAACATATTTTAACACTATCGCCATCTTGTAGCCATTACAGTAACCAATAAAATAAATACAGATTCCTTCTTTGGGTTTGTTTTGGTTATAAAATTCTGAACTGTTTAAAGAACAAATCTGTGGTTATTTACGCAATATTTTGTTTATTCTTTTTCTATGAGTTTGTCTATTTTATGATTCTTTTGTAAGTGGTTTATTCTGTAAAATAACTTGTATAATATTTAAAAAAAATATAGTACCAACAGCAGATATACAAAATAAAACTTGGAGATGGAAGAAATTGCAACTGCCCCTAATAATACGGCAACCAACTGTACATGTAACGTGTGTTTATCGTTGTTTGCGTTCGTGTTAACATAAAGTTGATTGCGTCTGCATTAATTGCTGCCCATTTCGGTGGTGCAGGCAAACGTATGTACGCACCGAACAACACAACAGCAGGAACGGTCGGATCCAATTTGGCGTGAAATTAAACCCAAAACATATGCACACAGCGGACCGGACAGTGCATGGGTTTAGGCAGGTACTGCACAAATCGGATTGTGTTTAGTTTGGCACGTATGCCTCATTGTTTATTGAATATACCTAAATCTCAATTACCCAGAAGGATGGAAACAGTAAGAGCGGCTGACCACACCGATATCAATGGTTAATGTCTGCATAAATTTAATAAATGTATGCATAACGGATTTGTTGCAAAAATGGCGGATGCGCCGGGATAAACATTATTATAATTTTGCATTTAATTTTAATTTCATGATTTTAGTTTCTTAAATATAAATCAAATTTTTCTTCTTCTTTTTTTTGAATATTTTAGTTCTTTAAAATCAATTTACTAGTTACTTTTTACTTATACCATGGTTACCATGGTATCCCCAAAATTTAACAGCCATTATATGAAAAATTAACTATATGGTTGATTCTACAAAGTTGGACAACTTGATGTCATCAGTCAATAGAGTAGGTATTTTAATATTTTTTGTAAATATTTTAGTATATTACAAAAGATCCAGGTTTTTTTTAACTTGTCCACCCAATTTTAATGTATTTTTTCAAAGCACGTTTATAGAAAAACATAATAAATATTCAAAACATCAGTACCTTGGCGTTTCACAACTCCTGAATCAAATATTTGAGTGATTTTATTTTAAAATATATTTAGTTTATCTTAATATGAAAATGCCTGCGAAATATTGAAGTTTAAACGTCAAGTCCTCGTTTTAAATCAAGTGTTGGTAAAAAAATACCTACAGAGCCCGCCCTTTGCACGACAGTCATCTTGAAAACAATGCAAGCGGCGAAGTTGTGGTGAATGGACGTATAGTTCCAGTCAAAATATCAGTGCTGTGGTGAGTAGTTATTTTCTTACGTATATATATTTCATTGTAATTTATATAAGGCTATATGTGATTTGTTGATAAGTAGCATCCACTGATAAAAAATTTCAGTAAAATACTTAATTCTGAATTATAATCTCAAATTTGTATCCCATTCATCAGTACCGTGTCGTCAGTTCCATGTTCGATGTTTCGGTTATCTTTTTTTCGCAAACTTCAATTTAAATTCTGCTTGCGCAGAACTTGTTTATTTAATGTCATTATAAACTCATATAAATTTGGTGTGGGTCCCATATCTAATAATTGAGATATCGGTATACCCAAAATCCACCAGCCGCCACTGATGTGTGGTATTATTTGATTTTAATATATTTAATGTATAATATGCTCAAAGTTGCAATACATCTTATATTTTCCAATAAATTAAGTATTTAATTAGTACCCTGGTATACTCGTCACTTCCCTTGCATTCAAATTTAGAAAACACAGATATTTCAGAAACTGTTTGAAAAAGTGACTGGCCCGGTCTGGAACAGTATATTTATTATATTATCTATGTTCTCATAACAAAATACTGTTGCTTAACTTTTGTAGAATCACCCACATCTCAAAAATTGTTCAACTTTTATAAATTTTAACGACATTTTCGGATTCAGGGGACAATTTTACATGGAAATTGACTGCTAAATGTTCATTTTTGACTAATTCATTTTCAGAGAGTATAAAATGTTTGTCTGATTTAAAATTTAACTTAAATATTTAATGAACTACTATTGAATTCGCAAAACTCTATAAATGCTTACTTTGTTGACAAAAAATGCCCAGTTAAAATGTTAATTTATCGCATTTTTAGAATGAAACTGTGAAGTTGGCAGATACAATTGGAAATGCGAGTTAATTGTCAATCACGGAGCTATAAAATCGTTGACAATTAAACAAATTAGCTTAATTGTGCGTTTATTGAAATAAAACAAAAATCAACTAAACATATATATTATAATTGTTTTAAAAAATGTTTACTTAAATTGTTTTTAATTAATACACAGTAATAAAATATTTGTTTATTTTAACCAAATATTAACCAGATTATATGTTAATCCCGGTCCACATAAATTTATGTAAAGTTTACAACCAACTGTAATCTGTTAAGAAGTGGTTTGTAATTATAACAAAAATTTTGTTGATTTAATAAAAAAATCCTATATCACACGGAGAGAAATGTATAGTAAATTTTAGATAGTAAAAAATATATACCTAGTAAAATTGACTTTAACAAATTTTTAGGGTAACAAAATTATATATTCGTCAATACAATATTGTAATACAAAATACTATTTTTTATTATGCAATTTTAGTAAAGATTACAACACCAATATTACTAAATCATAAATGTATAATATATATTTTAATTTAAGGTAAATAAACAATATATTTAAATATAATATACAATATAGTAACTCATGACATTTTAAACATTCAATTTTCTTAGTTTCTTCAATAAACTTTCTTGACCCATTACTGGTAATGCTTATAAGAAAGAACTGAACCTACTTGGTTGCATAGTATGTACCGATTGCGGCAAAGGCCACGTCGCGACGCGTCGTTAGACGGTGTGGATCACGTGATGTTCTTACATCTCTTACAGCCTCTGTTGGCTTACCAACCATCTTATATAAGCTCAGGTATTTCTTTGTTTAGGGTGTGTTCCACTACTACAAGTTGTTCGACAGTGTCGTGTCGACACTGATGATACCCAATATAGGTCAAAACACCTGTCTGTCGGTATTTGAAGTTGATGGAACGCACTCAAAACAAAACACTTTGGCGAGGTGTAGGTTCAATTCTTTCTCATAACATTTTTGTGTATTAAAAAGAACAATAAATATGTTAAAATTTTTAATTGTTAACATATAAAAATATTCGATTTTAAAATATTTTATATTTAAAATGGCAACATAATATTTTAAAATTTACTATACTTATTAGTAATGGAAAAAATCTAATTATAATAAGAATTAAAAACAAAATTGATTGAGAATAATAATATTTTACCTTAAGGTTTAACATATTTTATATTTTATTATTATTATTTTGCGAATCTCCCTAATAAAATCAAACAAATGGAAAGCAAAGGTTCAGACATCAGGGGACTTTCTAAAACAACACACATTTCCGCATTTTTGGAGGCGTCCCCTGCTATAGGAGAGTTTGTGTCGCCAACAAACGCAGACAAAGCAGAACTGCGTGGAAATAGTGCATTACGGGGCTCGCCCTTAATGATGAT